ACAGAACTCATTTTGCTCCTCGCAGATACGCTTTCAAGCAAAGTCTAAACTTTGTCTAAACCCTTCTGTTTACTTTCATTATGATGTCATGTTACTAGGTTTCTGTTAATTCTAAAGCGCGCGCCTGGAATTGATTCCTTTAGGAGTTAAAAAACGGTGGAACTCCATTTATCTACAGGGTCCATTTCTCATGACGCAGAAACAACCGAAGATTATGTTCTTCCGTTGGGTGCTGGTTCTCTGAGCCTACATAAGCAAGAGAGTTCTCTTTACTTATGGCGCACTTCTAAGTGAGCGTCCTTTTCATGAAAATTAATTCAAGAAGATATCTAAATTGTTTTAAGCATTTTCTTTCTTTTTTTGGAGGGGGGCGTAAGGGGGGTACGAATACCGCAATACCGCACATGGTAGCGCGAGAATACCGCAATACCGCATCAAAATTTAGCCAAATACCGAAACCGCAGTTACAACTGGGAAAAAGTTGACGTTGTCAATGCTAAAAATCCTCCTTTCAAATAGAAATAATACTTTTATGTCAGTCTTTCCAAATTATGATGCGTCGATGTCAAGCGTACGATAAACATAAGATCATCCCCCTCGTTTAACTTTGTTCATTACATGTATACGTTTATATAAATGATACAACAGGAGTTTTCTAGTATTACTTTATATATTACTGACCTAGATCATAAACGGACGGTAAACAGTTGACTCTTATGAGGTTGTTTCAGATTCACAATTAACCCGATTCTTTGTTGAGGATTTCAAAACGTCGACCCGGGCTGCCTTTGGGATTCGAAGGGCACACAGCACACACTAGCCTGCGTAGCATGGCGGTTTTGGTTGGGCGCGCTAAATAATAAAGGCGGGCGCGGGCAAGGAGATTGGGGCGGGAGCTGGTAAGCCGACAAAACCACGTAAAACTGCCATGCCCGGAGGAGTACTTGGGTTAATTTTTGCTTGGTAGGTGCCACTGGCCTCTCAGAGCCTCTACCCCATTATAGTCTATTCAGTGCCCAATTATAGACCCCATCTTAGTCACTTTTGGACAAATATTTAATTTTCGCGATCCCAGCTTAGTCACTTCCTATTTTAATGAATTGACCATTTTTTAGATTGAATGAAGAACACTTTACTTTTCATCTACAATACAAACATTCTGGTACGTTTGCTAACCGTAAATATGAAGAACTGTCTTGCCCCAAAAGAGCAGAAAATGTGCGACCCCATTCTAGTAACTCTCTGAAAATGCGACTCCATTATAGTCAATCCAGTCGTGAAAATGCGACCCATCCAGCGGCACATCCCCATTAGCCTCTTATAAGGAAGTACCCCCGCCCCCCGGGCCCCCATGCTACGAAGGCTAAGCACACACGAATACTAGTACATTCTACATTCCTGCATGCACAACGAGAAGGACGAGTAATAATTTTTAGACCACACCATCTTCACAGATTATCTTTCGACACTACGCAATTTATAACGACCTCACTGACCTCACTATCTGCTGGAATATCTGACTGATCACTCAGTTGACCCTCTGGATCGCTCGCCATTGTTTTACGACCGGCACGAGAGTGGCGGTAAGATTGGAGGTTAACCAAGCTGACTATTTCCACAAGGTCCATGAGGTTATATATAATGTGACATGTTTACGTGTCATTGGATAAAAAAGTCAATGTCGTTAATCGTATCAAGTATTAACTGAAATTACAAGCCATACGATTTGTCTGGACTGTTTGCGCAATATACGATCCCCGACTGTGCAACTATAGGAAGAAACGCAGGTCACGCAGGCTAGCTAGGGAGACCTTTCAGGATTTGTATCCTCTTGTCATGAAAAAGAAGCAGATCACCGCGACACTATGGTTTAAAAAACCGTTCAAAATTATTCTGGGGTATTTCCGACCTCGGAAATACAATTCACGGGGTCGGAAATGAGTAAGCGGGGTCGGTTTCTTTACTTACCAATAACGGACCCGTAAACACACTTAATCTCGGGATCGAAATTCAATTCACGGGGTCGGAAGTGATTTAGCCATCGGGGGTCGGGTTTCTGCGTCCCCGAAAATAGACCTTAATCTCGGGTTCGAAATCTAAATTACGATCTCCGGATTCATTTCTTACCAGCGGCCCATGAGTTTCATTTCTGATGTCTGAAGTCCTACCGGCAACTGGACCCTTATTCCTGCTATCCCAAACCCACGCTCACATCGCTAGAAATCCCAGTCCGGATTTTTCTGATTTCCGGCCCCTCGAAATGTCCATGGTTGCGTCGGCCGAAATGTCTTTTCAGTCCTGATTCCATAATTAAACAAAGACTTAGATTCAGCACTCACTATATAGCGCATGTATAGTTTAATAAAGAAAAGTATATCAATAAAATAATAATAATAATGATAATAATAATATTATTAACAATAATAACAATGATGTAATAATGTAATGGTAATAAATAGTAATATTATATAACAACAATTAATATTAATAATGATGATGATGATGTCATTCTTTTGAAATGCTTTACTGGTTCTAAATTCATTTTTTAGTGCTATTAAATATACACATTTTAAGTTGTGTATTGATATATGAAGCAGTCAAATGTTTATTTCATTTAGTTTTTGCTTTCTCTTTGTTTCAAATTAGCATACGTTTTCTTAGCCAAAAACTATGGAAAAATGAAAATAAACTGGAAATATGAAATAACTACAACATAATTATATATTACTTGTACTTTTACTCATTTACAACTTTTAAAACTTGCATCCCCACCACCTTCAGTCAATCGTGGCAATGGGTCTTTTATATATATACTGGTTCATTTGCCAAGCACCGTATGCATAGATGGGTTGGTTTTGATTTGTAGATAAAACTGACAGTTGTCATTAACTATTTTAGCCTTGATTACTTTTAGTTCATAACGTTTTTTGTCAAAATTAATTAAGTTACAGTGTGTATTTCGATAATTTAGGTCTTGGTTAATTTACTTGTTTTTGTTTTGTAAAGTCTTATTCGTTCATTTTTTCAGTTGTATGTCACCTTGTGTAATTACTTTTACTCAGTAATTAATAAAACACAATACACTCGGTTTCTGTTTGAGAAGAGATTCTTCTTCCTTTTGAGGTTTGTGGTTGCGCCAGCCGAAATACCTTTTCAGTCCTGTTTTCATAATTAAAAAAAGACTTAGGTTCATTACTTACTATATAGCGCATGCAAAGTGCAATAAAAAAAGAAATGTAAATCACGAAAATACTTCCTTTCGTTTAACATTCATCTTTAAATACGTACAATTTGCAATTGTCTTTTAAATTTCTTGTAAATTGTCTTTAAATATGTACATCTTGACTTGTGCCTCTTGACTTGTTACCAAAAAATGTTACTTAATTTATGTGCTTCAAATCAAAATACCTGTTTTGTTGTGAGGTGCAGGGTTGGAGGAGGTGTTAATAGCTGTGGAAAATTGGGAAAAATACTCGAATAATAACGTCGATACTGTTTTTGAGATTCTGGAAAGAAAAAATTGGTAGACAAACACCACATAGTCCTCTATCGCAAAGAAAACTTAGTCTACTATAACTTGTTTTTTTTTAACGGTTTTCCCAATATTTCCTTCATTCTTACGTTAACCTCAACGTCACACCCCTCCATAACCACCTCCCACAAAAACGACAACGATTACGTTGCCCCTTTATAGTTTCATTCTTGTGGTCTTTTTTTTTCATAGCGGAAGGTGGGGTGGAATGGTATTGGTAATCATGCACTGCACATGCAGCCTACTGATTATCCTAGCGCCATATGTTTTCTATATTCGGTTTACATGCAAAGGGTTGTACTTGTTCCTAGGGCTGGCATCTTCCTAGTACTAGGATCTTCCTAGCTGAGAGGTAGGAAGATCCTAGTACTAAGAAGATCCTAGCACCAAGTAAATTGCCTTCGCTAGGAAGATCTTAGCTAGTACCAGGGAAAAAACATACAAAAATAGTGGCGGGTCGTTCAGTGGCTAATCACGGCAATAAAGGCCGACCATTTCGTTTGGCGTTGCCACGAGCTGATTATTGTGATAATTTTGCTGAAAGGTAGTTGTTGACGCCAGTAAAGAGAGCAGAAGGGCCCAAATTGTATGTTTGTTTTTGTCGCCCGCCATGTTTAATTCCTTCTCAAACATTCTACTTTTGTATACCACACGAACCCAAATTTCTGCATGTAAACCCAACGTAGCCTTCTAGGATCTTCCAGGTACTAGGATCTTCCTCCCTCCATGTAAAGAGCCCCTTAGTTTTGAGATTTTTGAAAAAATACGAAATTAAAGACTTACGAATCAAGTACCGATAAACTACTCTTTACTTTGATTTTGCGAGATAAACAGCAGCCCTTATTACTTCCCTGCGCCCACGTTTCTCGAATACTGTAAATACTACTGACATAGATACCAGTCAAACTGCTTTTATCACTTCTCCTTTATTTAACTTCCAGGAAGGGTTGTAATTCTAATACAAGTATTTTTTGAAACGTGAAATACTTGAAACTTGAACTGTAACAATCCGTATCGTTTTACAGATCTAAGTAGAAATATGTTTAGAATTTTGTATTGAAAATGGCACATATCAATACACAGGAGGAAATAGACTTGTGCCCGTTTAAAAAAAAGAAAACAAAATTCTCACTCACTAAATTGCAAGAAATAACTTTATAAAGTGCTGTTGATTTTCTCTATAAAAATTTTTACGTGTAAAAACCCTCCCGTTTCTTCTACTTTCTTTTGCAATAGGCTGAGGGGCACTGCAGGAAGGGTTGTAATTCTGATACAAGTATTTTTTGAAACGTGCAATACTTGAAACTTGAACTGTAACAATCCATATCGTTTTACAAATATAAGGAGAAATATGTTTAAGAATGTTGTATTAAAAATGGCACATGTCAATACACAGGAGGAAATAGACTTGTGCCCGTTTCAAAAAAAGAAAACAAAATTCGCACTCACTAAATTGCAAGAAATAACTTTAAAAAGTGCGGTTGATTTTCTCTATAAAAATTTTTACGTGTAAAAACCCTCCCGTTTCTTCTACTTTCTTTTCCAAGAGGCTGAAGGGCACTGTTGTTCCAAGCATTTGCCCTTCCGCCATTACTTCGTCTTCCAAAGTGAAGATCTTGTCGTCATCGCCACATATCAAGAATCTGAAAAAAATAGATATCAAAATTTATTTCGCTGATCTGGCTGACGTCCAGGATACACCTGCGATATCGCGTTTGTTCGACTTGGGAGGAAAAGAACATTCCATTTTAGATTCTTGCTTTTTAGATGAATCAAAATTATCCTTACTGTCCGTCACCGTGTTAGAAACACTACTTTATTGCTTCTAGAGGTCTGTGTCACGGACGTCCTTTTTGGGTTTGTTTCTCTTATTTTTACTAGAACGGTTAGGGCCTCTTTTCTTCAAAGTAACTTCCACGATAATCTTTGATCCTTTTTATCTTATCTTAATTTGCTTACATGTGCTAGAAGTTATTCTTACCGTATAGCGATTCTTGTTGGGGACATTGCATGCATCAGTTGTAGGTAAAGCTTGCACTCGGTTGCTTGAATGTACAAAAACATCCGCCAGTCCCTTGTATCCCATTGAAACTCTGGGCTTATCAAGGGAGCATCATCTGTAGCTGCCATTATTACCCTAGTTCTTTGTCTGAAAGAGTTCACAGTCCAGTAAAAACTGGTGATGCTCTCTACAGTGCGAGTTTTCAACGCGTCTTTCTTCTGTGAAAAAAAAAAACGTATTACAAGGCGGGGTCCTATTGCTCAGTTAAATCATGTCAGTGTTTTCTCGAGATGCTTATACTTTGCTTTTAGTAAAATAAGAGCATTTATTTATACATGGCGTTCCACCAATCGATCTCAGTTGGGTGTGATACTGTTTGATCTAGTGACCGTTATTTTCGGAATAATAGCAAATTGATTGGACAACTGCGAAATCGCTTGTCTGTTATTAGCTTTTATTCAGTGTGTGGAGTCTTAAAGCACTCCAAACAGTACGTTAGAAGATATTTGGCACACAAAATATTGTAATATTCAATTGAATATCGAGACACCCATAGTATAACATTTTACTTACGGCACCGAGAAGAGCTTCTTGAAGTTTTCGGTTCTCTATGAGTAAAAGAGACACGTGTCTTTCCGCTTCATCCTTGTTGTGTTCGGCTAAGCTGCGGCTGCTCCCCCAGAACTTGCAGCCCACAATGTTGCATTCTCTTTGCCTTTGGCGGCACTCGCTAAGGTGAAGTTGTAGTTCTCTCCTACGAAAGAGTATAGATTGTTATAATATCAGTGAGTTAACCCGGCCTAGTGAACGAACTCAAGCTTAATTTACGGCACTAGCTATATATCTCGGTGAACTCTTGTCAATAGCTTTATCATAAACCCGTCCAGTAGTCATAGCTAAGGAAAGCGTTAGAGCGTAACCATGGCACACTTTCAATGCGGCCCAGAATAGGTCAGTGCCATTTCGCCTACACCGCGCCGCGAAAAGCTTGGTTCCGTACTTTCAACTATGCCGCGGCCTTTTGCACTGAACACGCATATTCTCAACCAGCTACCGATTGCAGCTTAATAAAAGTAAAGCTTTCTACAGGACTTTTTCGTCCTAGTTGGATATGACACCGCAATCGTAAGAAATTTCTATCCTTAAAAATTCCACTTTGAAGCTTAATAAAGATTGGCAGCAGACTTCAAGGAGATCTACACATGATCACCCGGTTTTGATCATAGCACCGCTCTCGACCTGAAGTCAGGCATATCATTCTTATTACAACGTAACTGAGGCTAGTCATTTTCACTCAGCCGCGAAAGTTGATCCTAATCCTGCAAACGTAGAAGCTGAGGACTCGTCAGCCTTTATCACAACTGCAGTTGGTGTTGCGACAAAAACTGCGTGTAAACAAGTTGCTTATTAAGTTGTTATCGTAATCAAAGAGTGAAGTAAAAGTAAGTCAAAATGGGTCAATATTAGCCTTTTTCAAAAAAACTGAACACTACCACACCCCACGGCACAAAAGGGTTGGCAAAGTATGTCAAGTGCTTCAGTTGAATCACAGATTACTTCGTAGCAAGCTTTGGTACAAAGAGAGTACGGGGTCTCCGAGTACGGTAGTTAAAATCATAATCGCTGATGGATCGTGGATTTAGTTCTAAAAATTTTCCGAGGCTAATTCCGGTTATCACGGAGCTACTATGATTGAGCATGATTTCTTATGGTTCAAACTAGTTGGGGCGAACTCACCACGTGGCGAGACCACTGGCTGCCTTATTAACGAATGAAACTCAATGTGATACTGTTGAGATTTGTAAAATCAAACATACCTTTTTGGACGCTTCGTACACTTAAGTGGACAGTTAGTTTCACCTTCCGGACATGTCTCCTCGCGGTGGATTTCTAAGTTTGCCACTGTGGTGCTTCGATGACACCTCTCGCAGAAAACCACTTTGAAAATGCATTCTTCCGCGTGTCTTTCCTGGTCTTTTCTCTTCACTTTGGTACTGCATTGACCGTTTTCACATTTAATCTCCTCCTCCGGGCATTTATGATTCGCGAGTTGTTCAATTTTACCTTCCAATTGACAGAGGTCACATTTTGCTTCTAAATTCTCCACGAGCTTCTTGACGGTGAAGTTGGTTTTCAGTTCACTAGATATTGGCGTACGACAACTTGGGCAGTGTTTTGCAGCCCCTTGATTTTGTACTCGTACTAGGCAATCTCTGCAGTACGTATGGCCACATTCTGGAATAATCGCGGGGAAAATCATGAGTTGGTGACTGCAAACATAAAATAGAAATATATTTTCAATTGTGGGGTTTGACAATTATCTTTGACACAACTCAACTCTCATTTCTTACCAAATTTGACACTGAAAGTCAGGAGGAGTTTCTTGAACTGGCGTTATGTGTTCCATTTTCTTCTCAGCGAGGAGTTTGCTCCGCGTTTTAAGGTTGAAATAGCTACGGTTGCAAGGCAAATAAGGAGTATTTGACCTTTGTTAGAGAGCGCAATATACTTCTGTTAGGAGTATCAGTTGCGTATTTGAATTAGAAACAATTGATATTCCCAGGAGGCCCTTTAGCTTGTAGATTACCCACAGCGTTTTCACACCATCATAATTACCATAATGAAGACCGCTACTTAACACTTCAGCGTCAAGAGGAGGCGATAAAAATAACGAGATGAATAAATAAAATATTGATATATGAGGTAACGACTTGAAATGCTTTTTTTCTTTAGTTACTATGTGGTATATGTTTTGCTTTGAGAACGGGTATGGTATGAATAGTGAAGAGCGATTTTCTGAAAAATTATGATACCAATTGCAAGGTTGCCATGTCGGTGGTGTGTTGGTGGTCAATACAATATAATTTTTTTCTCGAAAAATTTACATGAAAATAAGGTTTAGTTTCCAGATGAGAGAAATGCCCAAACACACCGCCAATATGAATGCTGTGACGTCACGTGCAAACCAGCAATACTCAGTCGTTGATATGTTTCTCCAGTTGACACGTTTTTCGGGTTTCTCGTACTCTGGCGCGTGCCAACTCTCAGCTTTCAGCGCCGCCGCAGTCCACATGTGCGACCTATGCATATATGTACATATACGTATACGTATGCAAGCCATGTTTTTTTTCCTTAGCGGACTCGCCAAGATTTTGATAAGGTGTTGTGGTATAGGGATGGGGTATCCCTTAAGGCCTACTTTGGTTCTATGAAAGGAGAAGTTAAGATCCAGTCATACTTTGTAACAGCTAAAAATTATTTCGGCTGCAAAAGAACTTAGAGTCAAAAGAGATAAAGTCAGAAACTGAGTCGTCTTTTCGGATCACGCGAGTTCAACCACGAAGACAAACACAAACCAGTCGTTTGTTAGCCTGACTTCAAAACGCGGGTCAGTTTCATGAAGGTTTTCGTGAGCTGAAACCAAACCAAATATAGTGTATAATAGGTTCGATTCCCGGTCAAGCCTCAAAGTTAATAGCATTATACGGATTTTTCTTGTTTTGTAAGCGCTTCACTCCCTATGAGGATCATGTCCACTTCCCTATCTTTATTCGCATTCCCATTTCCATAAATTTAAGCCAATTAGGGCAAATGCGGCTGCTTAGCGATCTCAGTCGTCATTAGTTGTAACCAGGGCAGCTCTGGTTATACAACCTTTATCCGCCCTGGTTGTGACCACTCCCGGGGGGGGGGGGTAAACCCATACAGTACCTATACGGGTATATGCCGCCCAAAGGGGTCGTGATTTTGAAGTTCTTGATTTACAAAGGGGTATCCATTTTAGAGGCGTCTTCTAGATAGAACGGGGTATAATATTTCGAACGCACGAAAGCTCTACTTTTGTAAGCAGCCATTTGAGATTGTTCAAGGACAGATTGCTTTTAAAAATACGGTTCAATGCGTTAACAAGCAAACCGTTGTACTCTTGTTGCACCTTAGAACAGAGTATAAAAAATTGGCCCATTTCTAGAACGGGGTATCAGTTTTAGGGCGAATTCTAGAACGGGGTATAAAAAATTGGCCCATTTCTAGAACGGGGTGCCAATTTGGAGCCCCGGCCGGCATACACCCACCCCAAAAATGAGCAAGTCGTGAATTTCCGAGCACAAAAGACCCTCGGGATATTAGTCTGTTGATCGGCTGAGAAAAAGTCAAAAATCCTTATGAGCCCGCGAGACTGAGCACCCCAACCCTTGTTTTTACTAAAACCGCTGAACGCCACAACCACCACCGTTGAACCCGTAAGCTGGTCCCCAGGGTGTTTTCGTTTTCACATGTGCGCGGCTCGCGCGGCTCGGGAAGAGGTTGTGAGAAGAAGAGGTGGCAACACGTCGCGTCCTTATGTTTATGCAATGTTTGGGGGAAAACGGAGAGATTTTGCTGGCTTACGTAAGTGTACTTTTACTTTCATTAATTAACTCGCGACAAGAACTGAGAAGATCAATCGATTTTATTCATATGATTGTCTTTTAGGGTATGTACAATTATTCAGCAAGAATATCAAAGAGTAAGCTTAAGGTTCAATGTAGTCGAGTTAATTCATAAACTTAAGCTTATTCTGTTTCGAGGTTTGGAAACTACCTAATGGAGAATCCAATTTATAGGACAATTTCACCTTTTAAGTGCGTATCTTGATGCAGTTGATTTCAAGAGATGTTTATTTTTTACTTTAAGCTTAAATGCTTAAAGCTTAAAACTTAGTATTTAGTATATTTTTTTTCCTTGTTTTGTTTCTTCAAAAAGGCCAGCTTATTGTTACTTTTCCAAGTGTTTAGTATTCTACTGCAGGTATAAGTTTTCTGTTTATAATTATGACATGAGTAATGCAATGGTGGATCAGGTTGACGGGGAGCCTGTTCATTTTTGAGGGGGCCCATCTTGCAAGCAGAGGCATAATTATTTTTGTGGAAACGAGTGGGCTTGCTTGAAAACAAAAGGGTCACATTCTCGAGGGATACCATTCATTGGCCTGAAAATAAGGTAGGGTCACTGGTATAGGGATCAACCACTGCACACCACTTTTAATACGTTTTTTGTAATGCATTCCCAGGAACGTTGCATGACATCTTACTTCTTGCATTAGAAATGCATAATGCAATCTATGAAAAAATTAACTATGAATTATGCTTCCTTTAACTGTATAATAAGCAACAAAAACTTTTCATAAACAACAAAGTATCCTGATAAATCTGCAAATTTTGTCTCATGTTCAATATACAAAAACATCAAGCAACTTTATCTGTATAAAAAAAGGTGTTTTTTGTGCAACAATCACCACCTGTAGTGGCTTACGAACAGTTACGAACAGTTTATTATGATCTTCCAATGAGAGTTTTCTTCTTTCTTTCTTTCTCTTTTTGCCTACGCCTCTGTCTTCTGCTTTTAACCTGCTTCTCATCCTCTGTTAAGTCCAGGAGAAATATAAAAAATAAAACAACTATGAATCATTTGTTATGTCATAGAGTTAAACCTAGGAGCTGTGCTCTAATCTCCTTTTTCCTACAAGGACAAGTGATGACCCCACATTTCTTTTTTAAAAAAATAAGAGTCAAGACAGACAATATTTTATGTTTTAAGCAACGTGGGGATTACCAGTATGACCAGCTTATCTAAATTTTTCTTTATAGCAATACTAAAAAAAACAAGTTCAAGAATTTGGGAAGGTAAGAACTTGGGAATACTAACTATGATATTTGGGACAATTACATGTACTCTGGAGAGAAGTACGCTGACTACTATACCTTTCTCTTGTTTGTTCTCCTCAATGTCCAAGTTGCTGGTTTTTTTCTCCTTCTTTTTTTTCTTCTTCCTTATATCTTGTTCATTCATTTTGTCTAACAAAGAGAAAGGGTGAGGCAAGAAAGAGGTCTTTGACATGTTATTTAGTATCTAGCTGTCCAACTCACTTCAGTGGAGGGACAGGTCTTCAAACTATTATTACTGATGAATGCTTTCCCTTCCCCATTATTCCCAATTGGCTTGTTAGCTCAATCGCAGCGGTCAAGAAAAAAAAGAACCTGAATTGATATTGTTATTGGTACTCATGCATTGCATATGCAGCCTATGGATTTGTCACTAATCTATTAGCAGACAACTAATTAATATGTAGGTTGAGCTTATTTTCAAAATTAGCTGTAGACTCTTAGCCAATGAGAAGACAGATGGTGTGTATAATATAATAAGTAAGCTAATTACTATACCTTTGTCTAGTTTGTTATCCTCTATGTCTAAGTTACCAATTCTTTTCTTCTCCTTCTTCTTCTTCATCTTCCTTGGACCTTGTACATTCTTAGTGTCTAAGATAGAGAAATTGAGCGAACCAAATTAAGTCATGTCAGTGGGGGACAGGTCATAACCATTGATTTATAATTAATGTTTTGCCTCCCCCATTATACACTGTAAGTCAACTCTACTTGTTGTCACAAGTCAAACACAATGCCATGTACCATGGGTGTGTCAATATTCTAAAATACTCACTGCTTGTTTTGTCCTTCTTCTTCTTTTTCCTCATACCCTGTTCATTCATATTGTCTAACAAAGAGAATGGATGAGGCAATAAAGAGGATATAGACATGTTTTTTAATATCCAGTTTCAGTGGGGGCAGGTCTTCAAACTATTGTTAATTAATGAATGTTTTGCCTTCCCCTTTATAAATCAACTGACATTGATGAATTGTGGAAGAAAGACCTGATGCATTAAAAACATTTGATCAAAGTTGATCAATGTATGGTGCAGTTGCGAGTTTAAGAAGACATTTAAAGCACGTTAATCATTGATTTTTAACTCGCTCTGTTAACAAATTGTAATCAAAATTATAGTGCTTGATATCATTATCATTATTAATCACCTTTACATTCTGATCTTTTCCTTTTCTTCTTTCTTTCCCTCTCCATATTTTGCTCATTCACAGTGTCTAGCATAGAGAAAGGACCAGGGGAAGTCAGTAGAAAACATGTTATTTATCCATCAAACTATCTTGCTACAGTGGGGGACAGATCTTCACATCATTGATCATTGATAGATGTTTTGGATTACCCATTATAAAGTTACCTAAATTAATGATTTTTGAAGAGACTGATGAAATATAACCCTCAGAATATTGATGTCATACTTAATTTTAAATATGTAGTTCGATAGCAATCACACTTTAATCTCCATAGTAAAATTCCTCCTTCATCATTCAGTCTAATTTTTCTTTTTTTTACTTGTCATCTTTCCTTGCTTTATATTTCTTGTGAACGATTTCTTTCAGACGACCAAAAAACAAACATACATTTGCAGATGGATTCAATTCAAATCATGACACTTAGTCCACATAACATAACTGTGTGCCACATTGTCATGACAAGAACAACAACCACTTTTATCCAACTTCTTCTAAGTTATTTCATAGGAGGCTTTAATATATATCTATAAGGATAGACACCTGAGGATTCAACAGTGGAGTCCAGACTTGTACAGTTTGGTGGATAGGTTCCACTAAAAATGACCTTAAAAAGAACAAAAAAAACTGTGGAAGTATCATTGGCTGTTATGATCGTTAACTATTATTATATCATCTGTATAGAAACCAATATCCCAAGTATAACTATTTGTCGTTGAAGAGTTTTAAAAATTTGTTTATCGTTCTTTTTAATGGTGTTTAGTATTCATGTAATATCTTGTTTTTTGTGTAATGTTATAATATTATTATTATTAATGCTTATCAATTTATTTTATTTTTTCTATTGTTTTCTAGAAGACATCGATGATTAAAGAGTTAAATTGTCATAATTTTTATTGTTGTTATGGTATCTTATAACTATATAACTGTGTTATTTTTATTTGCACTGAATGCCAGTTTCATCAATATTATTATAACCTTTTTACGACTGTGTAAAAGTTGTTTTGAGTCTTGTGTCCTTAATGAGCTTGTATATGAAGTTGCCATTTAGTTTGCAAGCATCCAAGACTGCGGAAATGGCACCATCCACTCCAATAGCGGAGACTAGAAGTTCCAGAGATCCTTCCACTCCAAATCTTTACATTGAAAACTCCAGATGCACAAGGCATCTTCCGCCACAATGGGCAAGATATTAGAAGTTCCAAGATCCATTCACCCCAGAATCCATATTGAAGTTCCAGTGTGGAACCATTTCAGGAAATTGCGCTTGCCATTGCAATACAAGGAACTGGAGTTCCAGAGATCCTTCCACCCCAAAAACTGATGTTCAAAGCTCCAGATGCCCAAAGGCATCTTCCGCCTCAAAGCACGGTTTTTGGAGCTCCAGGTTCCTTCCACCCCAGACTTGATATTGAAGCTTCAGTGTCAAAGCGCTTACTAGCTTGTGAATTGCACTATCGACCACAATACAAGGAACTGAAGTTCCAGAGATCCTTCCACCCCAAAAACTGATGTTCAAAGCTCCAGATGCCCAAAGGCATCTTCCGCTTCAAAGCAGGGTTTTTGAAGCTCCAGGATCCTTCCACCCCAGACTTGATATTGAAGCTTGAGTGCCAAAGTGCTTAATAACTTGTGAATTGCATCATCTACCACAATACATGGAACTGGAGTTCCAGAGATCCTTCCACCCCAGAAACGGATGTTCAAAGCTCCAGATGCCCAAAGGCATCTTCCACCTCAAAGCAGGGTTTTTGAAGCTCCAGGATCCTTCCACCCCAGACTTGATATTGAAGCATTCTAGCCCGTGCTAGAAACTGAATGTTCCAGAGATCCTTTCACTTCAAAATTTGAAATTGAAAGCTCCAGATGCCCGAGGCATCTTCCGCCTCAATTTAAAGATTTGGAAGCTCCAGGACCCTTCTATACCAGTTTTGATATTGAATGTTTTAGAATGCAAGCATATTTGTAGCATATGCAGATCATTGCACCTTCCACCACAATAAAAAGGAACTGGAAGTTCCAGAGATCCTTCCATCTCACATCTTAACATTGAAAATTCCAGATGCCCAAAACATCTTCCACCACAATGCAAGATGTTGAAGATTCCAGGAACCTTTCAACCCAGGCTTGATATTGTAAGCTTCTTTGTACAAGTGCTGCCTTGCTGGAGCATTTAAAAAAGTATATTTCCTTCACCTTTGACACGATTTTGCAGAATACAGTGAGTGTCTAGCCTGTTCTTTCATTAAAATTTGCTTAGAAAACTTTAGAAATTTCAGTATTCAGGTCCATTTGTATAACAGCCCAGAAGTAGGTTATTACTGTAGCAGAGACACTGGAACAAGGAGGTCAAGATATTAAATCTTGAGTAATTTGGGTGTGTATAGAAGTCATAATAACTTGATTTTCTTGTTATTCTTAATACTTTATAAGTACCATTACACTGAATTTCTGAAAAAAAGAAACATTGATTGCACCTGCTACAAGATGAAATTTCATCACAATAAAAAAGAACAAACACCTAGAACAGAAAACCACATACATAGTACCACAGGTAAAATAACTGCAAAAAAAGACTTCTTTTTGGAGAGTCTGGCATGGCTGGGAGATGAACAGAAGCAAACACATGCCCTCGAAATGATCATACTAACTACTTTCTCTTTAACTACCTGCCTACTCAGACTCCTCTAACCTTCTCAATTACCTAGGAAAACCAATCTCTACTTGTCCTCCTTACCAGCTAGACTATATCTCCAGTTAATGCTTTATGTTCAGCAGCTCAACCATGCCAGTGTTATCATTTTGATTATGTGGAAAATGAAAATTATCAGGGGGAAGATCTTAATATATTAATAAATATTAAGCTGGCTATGTGTGTGGCTGTATGTGGTTTCCTGTCTTAGAAATCCTCTAGAATGAAAAATCAAGTTACCTATAGTTTGTAATACTATTGCTTAAAAAGGGAGAGAATTAGAAAACGTTTGACATGTGAAACACTTGTCGTCGACATCCAAAGTTTCCTGTACATGTACATCTATAAAATGCCTTTCACCCTCTGCCAAGAACAGGCTATACACACCTTTGTATGTATTCATAGCAACAGAAAAGTAAACTAAATGGCAGTTGAAGGCCAGAAAGTATGTTGGAGCATGTAACATAGATCTTATACTCGATTCTGATAGTTTTGGCATTATTATTCAAATTTGTAATTAAGTAATTATTTGATACTTAAAGGTCAACTGTAAGTAATGTGATTTTGATCGTCTTTTCTTGTGCGAACAATAATAAAACAAATGTTCAAGTAATTGAAAAAGAAAAGGAAACCATTGACAGGGGTAAGGGCTAGGTTGGGGGTAAAGTTAGGGTAAGGCTAACATTTAAGTGTTTTAAGGGTAAAAATTAATAATAGCAGTTAGTACTTAGTGGGGATAATAGGGTTATGATTTATGGTTTAGTAAGGGACAGAGGTGGGTTTAAGGTTAGGGTTAGGTTTGGTAATAGGGCTAGGATTATGGTGGGATAAAGGGGTTTTTCCAAGGGTAGTTTTAGGGTTAAGATTAGAGTTAGTCTAGGATTGGTTTCAAGTTAAGATTAGAGTAACTAGAGGTTAGGAATAGCCTAGGATTGGTTAAAGTGCTACTACGACGAAAATTTTTGTTTTTTTTTCCGAGTTGTTTTAACATAAATCTTTTGTATATGTTCAAAATTATACAAATAGCGAAAAATTGGAACGATACTTGCGTACGGGGGCTGGAAATTTCCCAATGAAAAGTGCGTAAATACCGTCCGCCATTACAAAGTTCGCAAAGCAATAGCCCGCGAGATCTCCGCAAAGCGGTCGTACGTTTGACCACGTGATTTATGCACTGTGACGTAGAAACATCAACCGAAAGATTCGCATTTGGGGAAAGTTTGTGAGTTTAGAGCCTTTTAACAAGACGTTTAAGATGTCATCTCCGTCGGATTCCTCTTCCTGCACCTCTGAAAGTGATCTAGAAAGTTTTACAGTTGACGAAGTGATGGGGGAATTGTCTGAATTTCCGCCGTACGACGACAGTTGCGAACCCCTTGCTACCGAGGAAGAAGCCGCGGACTACAACCTGCTACAACGAAAGAGTTCATCGCGAAGAAGAAGAGGAACAACAGTTTCAGCGAAGATATTTGGGAGAGGTGCCTGCGAATGAATGGTATGGTATTATCATGGAATGTAGATTTATATTTTTATTTTCCAATTTCAACATACCCGTCGTTAAATCGTGCGCGTGAGGAACGCGACTGTGTCTTTTGTTTAAGTTTACAATTTCGTTGCTATGTGATTAACTGTAGTCCTGATTTTATACGATAGTTTTATTGAAGAGGTCAGACAATTAATAATTTTATACAGACGTATTTTTCTTGTGTTTGACGAATTTTTCACATCATTTTGCAGGTGTTCGTGCTCGAACTGCTCTGTCAGCCTTGTTACAAAAGCGCAGGAGTGCATTTGTGGAAAGAGATCGATCGCTGCGAAGAGGTCATGGAAGAAGCCATTGGAGACCGGACCTTATGCATAACCCTCCATCCAGGGTTTGAAAGCGTCTGCTTAAACTGCCACGTATTAGAAGTGGCTGCACTGGACCTAAAAACGCGAGCTGGAAAGTCGTACACAACTGTTCGTGGGTAAAGCAACAAAAGTGATAATGAGTAAGTTGGGGTATTGTTGACTTTGTATCGGAACGATCGAACCGTACATAGCATTGAATAATTGATACATCTAAGCTTATCGCCGTGGACTGATCTCATAGAATGACATTTTTTATTTTCTAAATGGCTTTATTGCCCCAACTGCTTATTTTTAAAAGGAGTATTTATTTATCTCCATCCAATCCCTCCTTGAATTAACAGTGATCTCATTTCTCTAACTAGATTCCTGAGGTCTGTGGCCTATCGCCAATTTACAAGACTGCTGTGGAGTTATATTGGTAGTTCCAGGCGATACCCCTTGCCCTGTTGTGCCTACAATGAAATCAGGAAACAATTTCCGAGTCAAAATGGCCATTATCGTGGATTTGAAGATGAAGAAAATGAATAATAAATGCACTGTTTGTTCTTGAAGAGTGTCATGTATGCCATTGGGGCCAAGAAGGACCTACAGTAGTTGCGTGAATACTTGTTCGTAAACACTTAATTTTATGGGCCAAACTTCAGAATTCTCAGCCACTTACTCGCTTTTTGTTGAATGACAAACTTGCCCACTGTGTGAAGCCCTGTTCTTCTAGCGTTCGGTTAAACTCAAGTTTAGTGGCTGGGAATTCTGATGTTGCTCCAATTTTCATGTACACAAGTAATAAAAATTAAATCGAATTCAGCCTGAATTTAATTACAGTTTTAATGTATCGTTTCTTTCTTTTCACTCGGCTCACAGAGCACTGCAAAACTTAATAGCAGGTTACCTGCTGGAAACTTTCCTGGCAGGTCTGGTTGACTCTTCCAGACTTTTGTCTGGCTACAGTTTCTGCAGAAACTTTCTACGGTAAACAAGGTACCTGTCTGTGATACAGAAAGTTTGGGTTTTGAAAAGAAGCACAAGTGGCAGAACTGAAACAAAAGAAGAAGTTTGGAAAGGAAAACAATTCCCTTCGATTCCTCTCGAATGTTTTTTCCTTGTAGATCCAACCTGTAAAAAATGATTGAAAGGAAATACTCATTTAATCATAGCATCTGAAATAATAAAATAACAATAAAAAAAATGATTATCATTTTTGTTGTTTTTCTCAGGGTGTTGCCAGTTTTTCAACTTGTTGTAAACCTGGCTAATCGTGGGTTGGGATTTTACTCTCACATACATCCTGAAAAATGCTTTTTTATAATAATTCTGTTGATTGCACACATGACAACTTTGAGCCATTAAGCTATCTAGCCCACCCCAACGATGCATAATTTATTACAAGTGGTTGAGTGGACAAACCAAACATTTTTAGGCCTGGGACTTCCAGTCTATGGGCTGGCTATGCCTCTTCTTTTTTTTTTTTTTTGCAATTCTTATCTGAGTAAATTAAAAAACAAATTTCATGTACTCTTGTTTCTAAATAGATCCACTCATAATGGAAGTTAGTTTTAGGCCTAAATCACTTCCCAGAGGATACTTAGAGCTAAGATGTTAAAATGCAATAAATTTTGCATCTTTGTACCTTGGGTTCTGATGAGTCTTCACCGAGTCATCATCTTCCTTTAGTTTTTTATATGCATCTTTGATTCCTTCAGGACTCCATGTAGGGTCTTCATCACACTCAAACTCCTCATACGCGCTGTCCTGCATTTCCTGCTCATCTTCTGATTCATCCTCTAGCCCTAACTCTGTCTCATTTGTTACTGGCCATGGATCAGTTTGAATAGCTTAAACAAATGGAATTAAAAAAATTCTATTACCATTAAAATTTTAATTATTATTAAATAATCAAACATTGATAAAATGTAATAAAAATATAAAGATAGGCAGTTATGCCTATATGACTCATCAACATCAATAATTATTGTTGACTCACCAGCATTCACCATCGGCAACTGCTTCGGCTCTTGTATGCTCTTAAAGGTTTCAACCCACTGATCTTGATTGGAGATTAACTTACTCTTCAGTCTTGTGACTTTGCCCCTTAACTGAGTCACCTCACTCCTCAGGGTTTTGCATGTTGTGCAGTTCCCAGCATGTCCAGTTGGAGTATCCTACAAAAAACAAACTTTCAACATTAATACAGGCTGTAATAACAAGACTTCAGAATTTTTGTGTTTTAGTATTGTTGTAAAATAACTGCACATGTAGTTTTCCATTGTTATGATAATACAAAGATGCAAATAAACATTAATTAGAGTTATGCGCCTACCATAGAAACCTGTTCAAGTTCAGGAATCACTAATGATTCATCAATCTGCATAACTTATCCATATCCTGCACTTTTTCGATTCCCTGAGCCTCCAGGATCTGCATGGTCTCAGTAACATCATCAGTGCCGGAAATCCCTTGGTTCTCGAGAGTTGTCTTATCACCAGGAGTACCTAGGACCTCTGAAGCCATCTCAGCATCAACACTTACCTCACCCGTCTCAGTCTCAGGGATGCAGTCCTCCTTTTCAGGATTTACCTCAAGCAAGGAACCCTGACTTGTGTTCAGAACACCCTCGACTTCTGGAGACTCCTCAGGGTTGAGATTGGGAGCCCCCATAGTGTCAGCACTCTCCTCAGGTGCAGAACTTCCTTTCAAAGAGATCACCTCTTCTTCAGGATTGTCTTCTTCCTCTGTATCCTCATTAGTAGTTTGACCAGCCAGAATTTCATTTAGTAGCTAAAAATGAAAATAGGTAGGACCATTTTTTATATCTCCCCATCAAAACAAGTTTAAATTTGAGCTTTATGTCGATGTTTTCAAAAGTAGAAATGGAAGCAAGGTTTAACGGCATCTTTGCCTTAAAATGTATGCATCATTTGCAGACAGTGAAAATAGAATTAAAATACAAACGAAAAAAAAAACCCGCAAACAGTAACTGAACTTATAGAATGTAGAAATCAGACTAAGTCCATTTTTGGTCGTTTTAAAAGACTCGCGTGTAACTCCTAATTTGCTGTAAGATTTCTTGGCGGAAAGTTTGGAGTACTGTCAAATCTCAAAGTAACAGCAAGATAATCTCTCAAAAAATAGAGAGCCGGATTTCTATGTAGCTTCACTTTTTCTAAATTTTACGCTTGAGAGGAAAGGTCTGGGAATTGGGGAATTGACTTCACGTCCACTCAGCGCAAATTCCCGTTTTACTATAACTATGAGAAGAAAGCAGAAAAGTATGAAAACACATGCAACAATATGGAAAGTCCAAATAGTCAGAGCATTCATATTGAACAACGATGCCAGAAAAAATCATGTCACAGGTAAATGGGGAAATAAATATAATAGTGATAAGCACAGCGCAAATAAATTGTAATTTCACTCACCGATCGTCGACTCCGCTTTGATAGTGTTTGAGAGGATTTTTTCCAAATGGTTGGAAACGTCCCCTTCTTCCAATTCCTTTTCATGCCTTTCATCGGAAAAGCAAGCGTATAGCAATCCTCCGAGCACACAGCAAATTTTCCCACTGTGTTGAAATCCTTCCGATGAATGGACACGAACCTTTTCCACTTTAATCCAACGCTGCCCGAATCAGGAGAATTCATCGTTCTTTACGTTTCCACAGTCCTGAACAACACAACGTCTACCAGGCATACTTTCGCTTTAAGTCAAAAAAGCGAAGAAAGAACCTCCAAAAGCTTCCAAAATATCTCGTCCTGCATGCGAAATTAGCCATGTTTGTTTACCTTGTTTTGTCGCGTTGATTTTCTACGTCACATCTCGCCCCAACTCCTTCAAATACTACTCCCGGTCATTTTTTGAATCGAGTAATGGCGGCAAGACATTTACGAAAATTGCCGTGCAAATAAACACACTTCCAGATCATATTTGGACTCCAAACTTGGCACGGTAAGTCACTTTTACATACATTTTCGAAATATGTAATCAAAAACAAATTCCCAAATTTGATCGTAGTAGCACTTTAAGGGTTAAGAATAGAATTAGCAAAATGGTTAAGGTTAGCCTAGGATTGGTTTAGGGTTAAGAGTAGAATTAGCAGTGAGGTTAGGATTAGCCTAGGATTGGTTTAGGGTTAAGATTAGAATTAGAAAAAAGGTTGGGGTTAGCCTAGGATTGGTTTAGGGTTAAGATTAGAATTACCAGTGAGGTTACTGGGTTAGCCTAGGATTGGTTTAGGGTTAAGATTAGAATTAGCAGTGAGGTTGGGGTTAGCCTAGGATTGGTTTAGGGTTAAGATTAGAATTACCAGTGAGGTTACTGGGTTAGCCTATGATTGGTTTAGGGTTAAGATTAGAATTAGCAGTGAGGTTGGGGTTAGCCTAGGATTGGTTTAGGGTTAAGATTAGAATTATTAGTGAGGTTACTGGGTTAGCCTAGGATTGGTTTAGGGTTAAGATTAGAATTAGCAGTGAGGTTAGGGTTAGCCTAGGATTGGTTTAGGGTTAAGATTAGAATTACCAGTGAGGTTACTGGGTTAGCCTAGGATTGGTTTAGGGTTAAGATTAGAATTAGCAGTGAGGTTAGGGTTAGCCTAGGATTGGTTTAGGGTTGAGAGAAGAATTAGCATTAAGGTTAGGCTAGGGTTATGTGGAGGTTAGATGCTAGGGAAGGATCAAAATTAAGGATAGAATTAGCAGAACAGCAAGAGTTAGGGTAGGGATTATGGTTAGGTTTGCGGTTACAGAAGGTTTAGGGTTCCAGTATTAGCGATAGGTTTGAGGTTAGGGTTAGAATTAGCAGGAAGATTAGGGTTTATTTTTAGGGGTTAGGGAAACATTGGGTTAAGACTAGAGATGTGCTAACTCTAACTATAATAGTAAGGTTAAGCCTCCACTTGTAAGTACTATTGTACTTACTTCTTCCTTCTCCATCAGTGTCTTCATTTCACTGGCATCCTGAATAAATGGATAAAAGGAAAGAAAAAAAAAAACCACATAATTAACAACATGTCAATAGAAGGTACTAACTGCTTGAGTTATTCCAAGATAAAATACATACAGGTACCGTAGGTAAATAATAATTATGTATAACTATGCTGTATTTATTTGAAATAATGGAACTTTCATTTCAGAGAAGGTGTGGATTGAGAGAAAGGGACAGTGAGTGCATAAACATACAGTTGACACGCATATGTGGTATGTTTGTACTTATTATAGTTATAAGGACAATAATATTTATACTAATAACAACAATAACCAGTAATAAAGGCTGAGTATTATTTTTATCACAATTCAGTGAACAAAATATTTACTTATCATTACAGTCCAAATAATTCATTTTAGATATCTACCTTTTTAATAACTTTCAAGACATGTCTATGTGTCTCTACTTTTTGTTTCGCATGCACCATGTTGTTTGTGGCTTGGTGCACAAGAATAAAAAAAAGGGGAATTTTGAAATCGGCTCCCAACCAGTCGTACACTTCCTGAAAAGGAAAATCAATGCCACCAAATGTCAATAATAATGAACATGTGGCTGAAAAAACACTTGTTTTGAGAGTGTCATTTGTTTTCATGTACAGTGGAACCTCGATTTAATGAAGGGCCAAAGAACTTGCAATATGTGTTCGCTATATTGAGGTTTCGTTATATTGAAGTTCTTTTTCATACATCTTACTATCACTGGAATAAAAAACTGTGAACGACATAATTATTAATTTTTAACAGAAATGGAAAACAGTAATAATGACTTACTTGGTAAAATGCTGTTTTTGGAATTTTTCGTTTCCACATCCCCAGTGGAGTAAGAACCCTTACTTCCACCCCTGCCGGGTCTTCAGGCTGTACCCTGAGGGCCCTTTGCTCTCGTATCCACATCTCCAATTCTGGATTATACTAGTAGATAAAGTAAGTTGATTTGTAATAAAAAAATTGTTTAATTCTTTCTTTAAGGATTGTCTGAAAATTTATATATTCCTCCAACTTTGGTAAAATTTGCAGCTGCACTCTTGTTGAAAAGTCTGGTACACCATAATGTAACAGATAAAGAATAAACATGACATAATTATTGTCTTTTTTATGCATAAAGAAATAATTTACAATGAGAAATGCTAACAAAATTTGTGCCTAAAAGCCAGGTCTGAAAATGGGTATAGAAACTTTCATTTTTTGGTCCAAAATAGGGTCAGGATTTGGAGAAACGGGTGGTACACCCCCACCAAGAATTGAAAGGAGTACACCCCTCTGGGAATCAGAAGGTCAAGTTTGGACTGAAACAGATCAATCCCCATTGCAGTCTAAGGTACGTTAATTTGATTGTAGAGCATTAAGGGGGAGGGGGGACTTTTTCCCTTGAAAATGAGGGGGAGGTAGGGGGCTTAAGAACATTAGTCATACTCCACTCACTCACCGTATCACTTTTGTCATTCTCAGGTGTGGATAAATCAATTACCACTGATTTTGAGATGCAATTGACAGACTGCATTAAAACACAAAAGAAATGGTAATCACTACTCAAACAATTAACATTGTATACATTTTAACAGCCCCACAATGAAGTAAGGGTAGTGAACATATGAAATAGCCAAGCATTTAATATTATACATTGAATTAATCAAACTCTTCTCACTCACCATATCCCCTTCATCACTGTCAACCACTGTACCTGTGGTGCATTTGTCAGACTGCATTAAAACATTATAGAAGGAAAAGTTAATTGGTAATCAGTACTCAAACAATTACCAAAGGTGTATATTAATTTTGTTAAGAGCCATGACTTCCACAAAGTAATGGTAATGGTACCAAGCCAATAATGAAGACATCTTGACCATTTTAATAAAATACATGGCTTGTGCATCAATGTCTACTTGGGTTAACATTACTAACTTGAAACAAACGCCACTGAATCGTGGTCAATAGGTACTGGCACCGTGCAAAGGACTTATTGATGAAATCAAACAAAACTAACTATGAGAGAACAACTGGACAGCTGACAATTTGACTAACAATAGGAAACTGTTGTCTGTGACAATAGATGGATCGAGACACACCAATTACATTGGATTACACAGCGTGCAAAGAAAGTCGTGTCCGATAGCCCAGGGCTGGTGGATTTTGCTATCGGGCTAATGATTTTTGTTCTTAACTTGCCCGACGGGTAAGTGCTGTTGTTTGCAAAAATGGAGAAATTCAGATTACAGAAGGATTGTAAAATCCAGCTAATCAAAAAGGGTTGTGGGGCTAGTTAAACTGACTTGTGGGCTAGTACATGCTAGCTACAGCTTGCCCAAATGGCAGGCTGTAAAACTGACTTTCTTTGCACCCTGATTACACCAATTACATTACTGACGGAGGACCAATAACATCACAACGTAATTGACCAATCAGGCCAATAACCAGAGTATAATACCATCAACTGATGTGATACGACTCACTTTGACTCTGAAGATGAATACCACACAGGTTGTAATTTGACCTGTAACATATATACATATATACATATAATGCAGACATATGCGGAAAAATATTAAGATATACATTATAGGTAATTGAGTTGTAGCTCATGATGAAGAAAACATGTAAGAAAAATCAGTATTTAAAAGAAGAAGGCCTTCCTGTCTACAGCAACATACTACCCAAAGTAAGGATGGTAAACATTAATCTATTTCATACCCGCTTGAGACCAGCAGACATTTAATGGGAAAGGAAACATGATTAGAAGCACAGAGATCATCTTTGTGGCACGGTTACGTTCAACAGTACAATGGAAAATACAAATCAAATAAGAATAACCCTGACTGATCAAAAGCCTTTTTTGCCCTTTTGGCATGATTCCCATCACCATATGAGAAATCTGGACAAGGGAAGCTTAGATGAAGTCTGGTACCTTGTGACTGACTGTCTTTTCTGTGAGTTCTGTCTCCTTTGTGGACTGTTTTTCCCTTTGTAAATAGTCAAAACAATGAATGGGTAACATTAAACAACCACCAAAAACTCAAAATGCAAAAAAAAAAAAAAACAACATAAAGCACTCTAAAACACTCCCAAAAACATAATTTCACAAACCTGTCTCTGGCCAGATGCACCAAATCTAGCGTTTCTTTGGCTTTTGTTAAGGCCTCTTTAAGCTCCGTCCACGTAAACCATTCTGAAAAATTTGTTAAAACTTTAATTGGGATATTGACCACAGTTTTAAAGATAAATTGCAAAATATACTTTGATTTATTATAACTAATTATTTTTTACCATTATAAGTTTTAAAGAGTTTTTCCCTACCGGAAAATCGCTCCACCAACATAGGCACAGTTGACGCACGGAGTGAAGGTGCAAGAATAAGGATTTGGGGACATTGGAATCCCTGTCCGCCAACTGTTTGTAATGCTATAAGACAAGAAGAGTGAAAATTATTATATCAACACCAAGGAATATCAGGAGAGCTTCCGAGCAAAAAACATTGTGACTCTTCACACATGAAATAATGCGTTATCTTCAAGTGTGAAAAGATCACTGTTACTATGCCACTATAAACTGCCATTTGCAGCAATCAATTTTTTTAAGAGTGAAATGGTTGGTATTTTATAGGTGTTTTTATAGGTGTTTTTATAGGTGGAAATTATAATAATTATTATTAAGATAGCTATTTCAAGCCTGGAGGGCAAAACACTTTATCCCAAAATGGATGCACAAAGAAGTGGACCTTTCTAATGAATGTTTTATAGGGTTTAGTCCATTGATGACCAGATTAAAACATGGTGAAAAGGTGTTAACAATATTTTTATTATTACCTTTCCTTCCTTCTCTCTTGCCTTGACCCGAAATCCAAATCAAAGGATCTGGGTCGTAGAGAAGTTTTTCGGTGATACACACCTCTTTTAGGTCACTATGAATAGATAACAATTGCAAACAGATACATGATACCACATCCACAACATCTATTCTCTAGCTACTTACTGATAAACTTCACTTTTGCTCGAATATTAGTCAAGATACAATTTTGCTAATTCCTTTCTTCCCTCATACAAGCCCTCCCTGCTGTTAAGATGATACATTATAATAATTATTATTAGCAAAGAACAGATCATTAAAGCCTCTCGTACCTAGTATGTTGTAATTTATAAAGCTGCAGAGAACATCTCAATAAGAATAGCTGCTGCATGTTTTAACTCTTTGGAAAAACAAATTTTGAGGGGAGTATACCAGTGGTTGTTCCTGCATTCCTTACTGAAGAAATAGAATGAATAGCATTGTGTCCATAGAAAATTCTAAATTCTTAAACATGTAACTGTATATTTAAATAATTTGCATGTTATCAGATAGTCATGTATGGATATTGTGGCCTCAGTAATGAATACTTTCATTTGATCTTACAGCTCTGTGTCCAAGGTGGCATGAAAGATGGTTTGTAAGAGTTGTGCCTGTTAATGGATTTTACCTCAGCATCTGGCATTCTTCATGAGAGAGGTGTGTGTCATGGTTGTTTAAGACAACCACCACTGCAATTCTTGGCCCCTTATAAATGTGTTGGCAAAGCTAAAGACAGAATCATCATTTAATTAAAACAATAATGAATGGAAATTAGGTCATAACTGATGTAGGATTCATACAAAAAGTTTCAACCTGTAGTTGAGGACTACTCATGAACCAAATTCCAGATTTGTTATTTCACAGATTTTACATTAAGATGCGTGTTCCCAGTCTTAGAAAATACGAGAATTTTTAAGGCATCAAATGTTTGCCTTAATTCTCATCTTCTCTACAGTTTTTATCTTTATCAGTATAAACAAGCATGAAAAGAACACCTTCAAAGCATTGTTTCCTGAAGAAGCCAGCGAAACATAGAACTAACAACCGCTGGAAAATCTGCAATAGACGTACTTTTGAAGTGGATTACTTTCTTTCTCAATTTCTCTTCATAAAATGCTGTTGCAGTGTGTAAAATTGCTAAACAGGGGAAAGGAATACCAAAGTCTACAAAAAATTGCTTTCAAGGACTTTTCCAGGACATCCACTGTGATTCAAGTGTTTTTCAAGAAAAAATAAAATTTAAAAACATTTCAAGGTTCAAGGATGCCAAACAAAATTTCAAAACCTTTTCACAGAACCCAACAAAAATTCAAGACTTTTTAACAACACCCCCCCCCAACCCCCCTCCAAAAAAAATAATAATAATAATAAAATTTGATAACTTTTCAATACAGCAGGAACTATGTGATGGTAGGACATCTACATGTCTGCAGCCAAATGTCCCTTTCTGGGCTATTATCCCCTTATACTATCATGTTGTTCATTTTACAAGCAGCTCTGGTATCTATGGTTGTTGTTGCATAGCGCTGATCTGTCGATAATTTTGTAGATTGTTGTTAATGACTTACACTTTTGAAAGAAACTCCAATAAAAGGCAACCCATTTACGTTGGCTTGACCTAACACAACACCCAGAGGCTGTAATAATTGGTCCGAATGGAGCATTCCTGTAAAAATACAACAAAGAATCGTAAATACAAGGTAATGGTAAATTATAACTTCCTCAACATCATTATATACAAATAGCAGAATTCTGCTCCACCAGCAGCCACATTTAACTAGAATACCAGCCATTATAAGATAAGTTCTCTGCTAAGTAAGTCATTCAAAGACAGTTGGCGGCTACCAATTTTTCTGCTATCATGGCCAAGCTATGGCATTCTCAGTAGCTAATGATTAGAAGAATTAATAGCCTGAAAATCACAACGGTATGCTTCCTTTTTTTCTTAAAGCTTGCCTCTGTCACTCTGGTGTCTGGGTATTATAAGCCTTGAGATGCTCCAAATCTTTGGTGGGTTCTGTACGTCTTGTGTAGTTTTAATTGCAAAATTTGAGCCGTTTTTTTTTTTTATTTTTCACTTAGGTAGCCAAAGGGTGACTATGAAAAGGTAGGGTTTGGAACAGTACTTTAAATGAATACCTGGTTCATACAGCCCCCTATCATTTAGGTCTTGAACTATTGTCCCTACTGTGAATGAAAAAAAAAACAACAACAACAACAACAACCTTAAAAGAAAACTGCAAAAATATGCAATATATGTGAAATGTTGAAACAATTAAGCAACCAAGTCTTTGAAAGTAGGGGTTAATTAGAATGGGTCAAGAAGGTTAAAATGTGTTACCTGGAAAAGATCCTCCCTTATAACTTGGACCAAACTCGCCTGCAAAAAAGGGGAGAATGGCATTTACCTAGTTGGTACACAGACTCTCTCTTTTTTTCTCTGTAGGGATTGTGGAGCATGAGTAGAAATTAACTTATAAGCCAAAAGGTCTGCAGGAGGTACTTGCAGTAACAGAAAAGGCAATTTTTTTTATCATCTGGTAAATGGCTATTATAGGTCAGTGACAACATCATGTTAACGACTTATCATGCTCGCAAGTAGAAGCACTTGCAATCACAGCTTACTGCAGTAACAGTCTCACTTTTCCACACCTCGCACTAAATTATACTCCCTGCTCTCATGCAGAAATAGCTCTCTATGGGACAGTATTTAGTCTGGAGCAAACAGACAAACCTTTAATGCACTTGTTTTCTTTCTCTGCAGTGATTGCACTTCCACCTACAACAAAATCATTACTTGTCACAGATGTTGTCGTTGCTGTTGCTGTTGCTATTGATGTTACTGTTGCAGTTGATGTTGTTGCTAACGATACTGATGTTGCTGTTGTTGACGGCATATTGTCTGCAAAAAGGTCATGGGATAAAAACACTCGAGTTGAAGAGGTTTTAAATTCTTCTGCAACAGCCTTCCCACTGAGATTCGTTCCAACAGGTGAAAGGGCATGGTTGCCATGTGGTTTTGCCTTTAAAAACCTTATGGTGCTGAAAAGATGAAAACATTCACATTAATAATTAAGTGTTATTTTACAAGGTTCATTGGTTAACTACTAGATGACAAGAAAAGACTTGAGTGTGGAATCATCATACAGTACACCATGTAGAGACCGAAGAACAATAAGCATTAGGGCCATCCAAATTGTCATTAGTAAGTAATCAGATTTATGCTCAATGAGACTTGTTATTCCAGCTGGCTAGTTGTGCTGGTGGGAGTAAACTGAAGGGATGCAACTCTCTTTATGGCTGTTCCTGCATTGATACAGTAAAGTAAATTCAGTAACCTAGATTGGCATTGTCGCTACCAATAAAGCAGTCACCCTCTATCAAGTGGCCTCTGTTTTAAGAGATAGTCCCGAAATAATATAGACTATTGTAGAAATGATTTTGAATTTTTTGTGCACCTCTATAAAACGGTCACAGCCCCCTTAAGAGTTCTCCTGTTGTTGTTGCCAACACAATACATACCCTTGGTTTGGATTAAAGAGACTGATTTTGGATCACAATTGTCAATAGTGCTCCTCTTACATGTGTGGTTCAAATTTCTTACAAACCGATATTAAGGCACAACAACCAAGTGTAAAGAAATTTGCTCATGTCTCGAGAGATAATATTAAAATAAGAAATGGTATCGACATTATTTTTAGTCGCGACACTCCCTTGACCCCCTTCCCCTGATCCACGTGTCCCCAAAATTATAGCATGTCAGTCTGACGACTAATTTGATCTCAGCAGAAATAGCAAAAATTATTGTTCTTCTACCTGCCAGAGTGAATTTTTGGAATGCCAACATCAAGGATAAAATTTGCTACCACAGTTTGGGAGATGATGACCAACCCACCAACCACATCTGTTCGCCACTTTGTTGCGACTCCGAAGATGAAGCCCAGCTTATTGCAAATTTTACGATTTGGGATACAAATTCTCCAAACCTAAACGCCTAGGAGAACGACCTTTGCCCCACAACACCGAGAAGTCCCACCCCTAAACTTTAGTCTTTTATAATAATACATAATACATATCTGTATTTCAAGTTCAAGACAATCATATAAAATAAACGAAACCGGAATAATAACATCCCCAGCCCATCACGAACAGGCGCATAATTTATTAATGCATTTCGAATTTTTCGCGCAATGACAGTCAGAAGTAACTTACCTCGCGTTGCCTATCTCCTTAAATTCCCTTTTCAAGAGGGAGAGCATTTCCATTTCATTGAATGATTTATCGAACTTAATTCGTTTGCCTTCTACTTGGCCTTGGGCATTTGAAGCTGTAGTATCTGAGCCAAGCCAGAGGAAGGTTCTCGTGGGTTTGGCTCCACTGGACTTCGATCCAGACCGAACGCCCGTCGTTTGTGCGGTGAATACGGGGCCAAGATTGCCCAGTCCAGTAGGCTGGCCATTTGTAGACGCCGCATCCCGATCCTGTGCATTCATTTCACTCAGAAAAGTACCTAACGACCGCGACAACTGAGAGAAGGATTCTTCGCTCATAACAAATCGAAAAGAAAGACCTCGTGGCAAATAAATTGCTACAGCGTATCAGTTTACTTTGGAAGCGTCATACCCTGTAAGCTGATATGAGACGCGGCGTCCCAAGACAAAAATAGTCAATCAACAAAATCGGACAATTCCGAAACTTTTCCTTCCATACTTTCGTTTGAAATTGTTACATACACAAATGCTAGGGGACTGTTTGTGAAGGGCACTATATTGAAATCGTAAGGTGCTCAACTGATGAAACTGAACATCTGACCACTACGACAAAGACCAGGTGTTAATCAATAGGTGGCACAAAAAAGGGAAAAAACTCCCAGATATTTGGCGGGGCATACACACAAGAAGTAATACTAAAAAATAAATAAACAAAATAGATAAATATAGTCGTACAGACACACACACATAAACCCGCACAAAATATGCAACCCAAAAAGTCAGTACTATACATGTAAGTATAGAAAAAAATCACGAAAAAGCCACACTTGGCGCAATGACGAGCATAGAGAAAACCCAAATCATTACACGTAGTCACTCCGGCTTCTGTCCCAGTCGGGGTACGCTGGATTTCAATGAAGTGACAGGGATGATCGAAGGGGGGGCAAAAATCAAAACCCAAAAAAATTCCCAAGCACTTCCAACAAAACAAACCGAAAAAATCCCATGCCGAATTTCCGACCCATAAAAATTTTCAGAAAGAATTAAATTATATTACACGAAAAATAGAACTGGCAAAACATTAGTTTTGAATACCCCCAAAAATATCCCTGTCACTTAAAATCCGCAGCCCCCCCCCGCTGGGGCTTCTGCTCCCCGTCTGATGGTTCTTCACCAATGGCAAGAGGCCAGCTCACTGCATGCTGCCTGATCGTGTTAAACGTTAACAACTAACTTCCTAAGTGAATCCGGACTGCATACCACGAGTCACCGTCATGTTTACCCTGTGTATTTCATTTTCATTATTTACTTGGTTTTTCTTTATTCTAACCGTTGGGATTCAACCAAGAGCAGGTAAGAAGTACTTCTAAATAAGAAAAACGACAAGACGTACTCGGTACAGCGTCAGGCTGTGCTGTAGTTGAATGTGCTGCTCAGATATCAGAAAAGATACGTTAAATATTTATAGTCATGATCGTAAAAAGGACAAGCTACATTCCACACAAACTTCTTTCAATCGTTGTTGATTAATCATAGATGTAATGTGCGCCGTATGCTGCGGCTCTCCCCCTTTTCTTTTTGAAACGCGATCCATACTGCATTTAGCCTGTTCCCGGCGTTGAGATGGTGGGTAGCCTGCGTGGCAGCCGGCCCACGCACCATTCATATAGTCCTATACCCAGAAGGTTTAGAGCGTCTGCGACGCAGGCAACTGTTGGGGAACGGACAAAGTAATTGGGCTCGACGCGTACGGTTTGGCTTGCCACCCACTATCTGAACACCTAGAACAAGCTATACTGTATTTAAGGAGGGGGGGACAGTTACTCCTTAAGATGGCCTATACCGGGTGGCTCCGCCCGAAAGGGGTATCCTTTCAGGCTTCAGGTGTATGAAAGGATAGGGATTCCACTTGTTGAAGTATTAGAGAGGGTAGCGAAATCTGTCATTTGGGTCTGTGAAAGGGCTCAATAGAGCTAAAAGAGAAATTTATGGCTTAATAAAGTCGAGAAAAGGTTCTATTTTTGTGATATAGAAGACAGTGCATTTACAGCAGTTTAATTAGCGATTTAAAGATCATGGTATGTGAAAAGGGTAACATCTGTCAGTAGAAGGTATAAGTAATCGGTTCCTGACGAAAGGGGTACCTTTTTTTTTTGGGTTTGGACCACGGAGCGGAGCCGCCCCGTATAAACATTTCTTGAGTTACTTGAGTACACCCTCCCCGGAATTTGACCGGAGGAGATGGATAATCAAAGAAGGATGAAGTTTTCCGTCCAAATTTGAACAAAAGGAATAAAACACACGAGTAGAATGAAGCCGAGTCATAGGTGGTATTTGAAGGGTCCTTAGAAATAGGGTTGATGTGCGCCTAGCGCCTAACGCGTTTTCAAAGCTGATAAATTAAATGCCCAGTTTCGGTTTAAAACGGCTGAAGGTTTTCTTGCAACCATCCTTGTTCCCAGGGTCCTCTCCTACCGAGAGGTACTAAAAAAATAAAGAAAAGAAAAAGTCAAGAAATAAAATAATGACTGGGTGTTAGATATATAAAACATACACGGTTTGTGCTTTTCTTATCTCATAGTCACTTCTATTGATCCTGGATCAATAGAGTTGTTTGCAAGGGAAGTGAAAGAGCTGTATCTACATGCAAAAGCCTCATTAGAGAGCCCAAATGCAGACAGCGAGGACCTGGGCACCATCAAAATTAAGATGGAGGCTGCAGTGCAGCACTTGAGAAGACTGGAATGGGCGTTGGACCTTACCAGACCTTGTGGAGGTGATCTCCTTGAGCTGATAATAAACCAGGTTAAACAATTGGAATGTAAAATCGGCGAGATGATAGAAACCTTCAACGGCTTAATACCGTTGTTGGCAGACGAGCTGCGCTACAGGGCCCCAGTAACTGCTACCAGATCCGTTGGCCGGCCATCGTTCATTATCACAAAAGAACAACTCGAAATAATGCGCTCGTATGGTTTATCGTGGATGGACATAGCGAAGGCACTTGGTATGTAAAGATCTTTGTTTGTTATATTTCAAACACAAGAAAAAACGTTTCGTGGGTAGACTTTGTACGTAGGAAAGGGTGTGGGTTGGTATTGGTTTGGGTTTAGTTGAGACTTTAAGAGACCCAGTCAGCTAGATACATATATCATGCATGAATGATAAGGTTCTCACTATATTTCGTTTCTTTTTCAAATTGTCTTTCTCGTCTGTTTACGTTTTCCAGGGGTTTCAGTTTCAACCATCTGGAGGCGCAGAACGTATTTCCAGATCAGACGAAGTAGACATAGAGGAAGGAGGGAGGTTACTATGACAGAATTGAAGGAAATAATAGCACGCATAAAAGAAACGGCGGTCGACGCGGGAATCGTTATGATAGAGGGAGAATTGACCGGACAAGGCCTGTATGCCTCTAGGGTAGCGATATCTGAGGCACTAATGACCTTGGATCCGATCGGGGCAAGCTTGAGATGGCGAGATTTCACACCTAGAGTAAAATATAATGTTCCAGGTAATTGTGTGACGTGGATACGATGCCCCGAAGTAGAAGTAGGCTACTTCATTAGGCAACAAACCCATTAATTTTTGCAGTAACTCTAGCTTACACTGTAGAACATCCTGTAAGCGAATACCCCTTTACGCAAAAAATTCAGCGGTCATTTAGGTGAGGAGGTCGAGGGAGATCTTTTCCTACTAGAAGTCCGAATAAATCTACTTTCTTTAACACAAGTTATCGTATACAATTTTAAAGTTACGATTCAAGTTCTCCATATCCTTTTAGCGTATGACCGAAAGGCAATCGGTTGCTTACTAAAGTTGAAAGTCGGCGAGGCAAATTATAAAACGGTTACCAACCATCAAGTTTTGACTGTAAGGTTTTTCATTTTTATTGGACATAAAGTCGCTTATGGCAGTTGAGCGAAAGTTATCTAACATAACATAACTTTTATATGAAACAGAAACACGGAAGATTTTCTGGTCATTCCGATTTCCCTCATTCCACCCCATCCTCTTGTACAATTTCGCGTTTCTGTACTTTCAAGTGTGAATATCGTCTTGGCCAAGACGATGAGAAAGAGAAAAAAAAGTTAAAAAGGTTTATTGTGGTCGAAATTCCAAGAATATAAACTATATTTATATAAGTATAAACTTTTTTTCAGGACCTAATAGTCTTTGGCATCTTGACGGAAACCATAAGCTTATAAGGTAAAGATCAGTTTGTATGGCAAAAAAATTAAAAAATTAATCACCAGAACTTTATTTGCAATCGATAAAATCACCATAGCAATAATAATGATAATCCTTTTAGTCTGAGAACGTCATGTACATATATTATTCCGAGGAATTATAATTACTCTACTGCAGTTTTTCTTTTCTTTTGTGTATAGTTTTTTACAAGACTCTCATAAAGATGTTGTTCATAATAATGGTAATAATAATAATAATGATGAGAATAATAATAATAATTATACCGATTCCAAATAGAGTGAATCTTCATGTGGAAAGGATTTCTTGAAGTGACACCTTTCCTGTTTTGTAGGTGGAGATTGGTCATTCACGGGGGCATAGACGGGTATTCGCGTTTAGTGGTTTACCTTAAATGCTCGGATAACAACAGAGCTGAGACCGTTGGGAATTCGTTTCTAGCTGCTACCGAAGAATACTGTTGGCCTTCCAGAGTAAGAACAGACAAGGGTGGTGAAAATGCTGTGGTTGCTCGCTTGATGATAGAAAGGAGGGGAGAAGGACGCGGGAGTATACTTCAAGGGAGCTCCGTCCATAATCAAAGAATTGAGCGGCTTTGGAGAGACATGAGGAAGATGGTCTCGGAGTACTATAGACGGTTGTTCTATTTTCTCGAAAGCCATCTTTTACTCGACCCGATAGGAGAAGTAGACTTATTTTCCTTACATTTTGTGTTTATTCCAAGAATAAATAACAGTTTGAGTCAATTCAGAGCTTCTTGGAATAATCACAAATTATCGACAGAGGGACAAAAAACTCCAAATCAACTTTACATTCTTGGAATGCTTCGGTTGTTTGGTTCAAACTACACTGCTGTCAAAGACTTCTTTGAAGATAATAGAGTTCCTGAAAACTACGGGATTTCCGAGCCAGAAGAGGTAGACGCGGTAAACGAAGATTCTAACGGAGCGGTTGTCTTACCGCAAAATGCAATTCAAATGTCACCAGATTGCCTAAGAGAGCTACAGGCCACGGTCAACCCTCTCGAGCAAGACGGGAACCATGGAATTTCTCTTTACCTTAAAGCTAGGGAAATAATCACTCGGTCTACCCAGGTAGAATGAACTTAAGAGTAGATTAAAGGTCTTGGAATGGATGCCAGTGGGGAAGGGGGGGCGATATTTGAAAGAATGGCGTTTTGTAAAATTCCGCCACTTTGGCGAGCAATAATATATATCCTGGCCAGCAAAAAATTTTGTCAGGTTACTTATTCTGAGGCACTATTTCAATCAGTGTCGCTTGAATTTTTCACCGGAATTTAACTCGAAAAAGGCTAGCCAACATGACAATCCATTTCCATCCAAAGACCGCATTAGGGACTTTACCGTATTTTCTTTGCTCAGGCTTTATACAATCTTTTTCATTCACGCCCCACGTACACATATATACGGAATTTTTTTCCCTCCCTTTAGCTGCGTATCCGCCTGTATAACTTCCTATTTAGTGTCTTACAGCTCGATGAAGAAGAAACACGTGATATTACGGGAACAGAGGGCAAGAGCACTGGATTTCTTTACAAATAGTAATATGAATCAAATAAGTTGATATTGACTGTACACATTAAATCATATGCAATAAATTCACACGACTGCATTTTATTGATGTCAACCAATAGGTGTCGGGCCCTAGCTAGGATAAACTTTATACATACGGGTACACGAGTGTTACTGCTTAATTAACGCCACCCCACCTTCCGCTATATAAAAAAAAGAGCAAAAGAATGAAACTATAAAGGGGCAGCGTGATCGTTGTCGTTTTTGTGGGAGGTGGTTATGGAGGGGGTTGGCGTTGAGGTTAACGTAAGAATGAAAGAAATATTGGGAAAACCGTTATACTCCCAAAAACAAGTTAGTAGACTAAGTTTTCTTTGCGATAGAGGACTATATGGTGTTTGTCTACCAAAAACAGTATCGACATTATTATTCGAGTATTTTTCCAATTCTCCACAGCTATTAACACCTCCTCCAACCCTGCACCTCACAACAAAACAGGTCTTTTGATTTGAAGCACATAAATTAAGTAACATCTTTTGGTAACAAGTCAAGAGGCACGAGTCAAGATATACATATACATTTCTTTTTTTATTGCACTTTGCATGCGCTATATAGTAAGTAATTAACTTAAGTCTTTTTTTAATTATGAAAACAGGACTGAAAAGGTATTTCGACTGGCGCAACCACAAACCTCAAAAGGAAGAAGAATCTCTTCTTAAACAGAAACCGAGTGTATTGTGTTTTATTAATTACTGAGTAAAAGTAATTACACAAGGTGACATACAACTGAAAAAATGAACGAATAAGACTTTACAAAACAAAAACAAGTAAATTAACCAAGACCTAAATTATCGAAATACACACTGTAACTTAATTAATTTTGACAAAAAACGTTATAAACTAAAAGTAATCAAGGCTAAAATAGTTAATGACAACTGTCAGTTTTATCTACAAATCAAAACCAACCCATCTATGCATACGGTGCTTGGCAAATGAACCAGTATATATAAAAAAGACCCATTGCCACGATTGACTGAGGGTGGTGGGGATGCAAGTTTTAAAAGTTGTAAATGAGTAAAAGTACAAGTAATATATAATTATGTTGTAGTTATTTCATATTTCCAGTTTATTTTCATTTTTCCATAGTTTTTGGCTAAGAAAACGTATGCTAATTTGAAACAAAGAGAAAGCAAAAACTAAATGAAATAAAAATTTGACTGCTTCATATATAAATACACAACTTAAAATGTGTATATTTAATAGCACTAAAAAATGAATTTAGAACCAGTAAAGCATTTCAAAAGAATGACATCATCATCATCATTATTAATATTAATTGTTGTTATATAATATTACTATTTATTACCATTACATTATTACATTATTGTTATTATTGTTAATAATATTATTATTATCATCATTATTATTATTTTATTCATATACATTTCTTTATTATTAAAACTATACATGCGCTATATAGTGAGTGCTGAATCTAAGTCTTTGTTTAATTATGGAATCAGGACTGAAAAGATATTTCGGCCGACGCAACCATGGACATTTTAAGGGGCCGGAAATCAGAAAAATCCGGACAGCGATGTGGGCGTGGGTTTGGGATAGCAGAAATAAGGGTCCAGTTGCCGGTAGGACTTCAGACATCAGAAATGAAACTCCTGGGCCGCTGGTAAGAAATGAATCCGGAGGTCGTAATTTCGGGGACGCAGAAACCCGACACCCGATGGTTAAATCACTTCCGACCCCGTGAATTGAATTTCGATCCCGGTATTAAGTGTGTTTACGGGTCCGTTATTGGTAAGTAAAGAAACCGACCCCGCTTACTCATTTCCGACCCCGTGAATTGTATTTCCGAGGTCGGAAATACCCCAGAATAATTTTGAACGGTTTTTTAAACCATACGACACAACGATTTTTTCACCGCCTACCGCGACATAAGATTTGAACTTACCGCACACCGCTTGGACTCTGAAAACCGCAATACCGTACTTTGAAACAAAAATTACCGCAACACCGCACCAAAAATGACCCAATACCGCAATACCGCAAACCCTTACGCCCCCCTCTTTTTGCGTTATCATTGCAAGCTGCCCCTGATTCAAACTCGTAATTTGATACTTAACAATTATTCCACTCGCGCTTGTTGGATATGAGATGATCAAAGCCAATAAGGCGCGTAGCGCCGAGTTGGCTATAATTGGCTATAATTTTTTATTAAAAGCGCCCAGAAAATATCGAGAATTCTTCCCGACTTTATTTGTAAAAGCAACCGATTTTCAGGTATAATTGCTCATATAAATAGCCACAACGGCTCTTGGTTTTGTCTTATTTTATTACCAGTTTGTTTTGCAAGTTTTTTTTCATCTTTCCCCCGTCTCGATTAGCCTTTTGTGCTATAAGCGGTGGGAGAGCTTTTTCCAATTTCTTATACCTGTAATTAACTGAGTGTGTAATTACTGTTGTATCTAAACGATGTGGAATAAAATTGTTGTTTGTTGTTTTGTTTGTTGATTAGATACAAAATACTAAAAGGCTAGCCTTTTAGTATTACTGCATCTGATGAGTGCAGCACGCCCTTACTGCTCATTAAATGTCTTATTGACTGTGGCCTGCGGACCCTGCGTAGCAGGCGTCAAAAGAGGTCTCGAAAGGGGTAGGGCCGGTACTGGAAGGAAGGGGGAAAAGGAATGGGGATTGTCACGCAGGCTATATTGACTGTAGTAATAGGCTAAAAGTTCTAGTTCTTAGCAGATGTAGAGCTCGGCTGCAACAGAAAAGCTTCTTTACAAGAGATGCCCAATAGTAAAGTACTTCATTGTTGGCTACCCAACAAGCTAATTTGTTGTTTTCATTTGTCAGGACCACACCATCAGCTGCGGCAAGATATGCAGGGAGTTCTCGCGCCAAATTAATAGCCCATGTTCGATACACTATAACTCCGTGGCTTTGGCGACAAAATTGCAAATTTTTTACCACTCCATTGTCTCGCATTTCCCAGACTCACAAAGAAAACCAAACCAAATATAGAAAAATGACCAGGTTAGAACGCCTCGAAGTCATGTTAGAATTGTAACTACATCAAACCTCCATCAAACCTACTAATGACTATTGATGGATCAGAGGTTTATGGGTGAATTGCTGCTGCCTTTTTCGTGGGTGCACGGACCAGGGAGTAAAGAACAACAAAAAAAACTGGCCGTGGTGGATAGCATCCTCCTTAATCTCCTTGATCTCCATAATTCTTCAGATGATACACGGCCTCATTCAAGGCCTCATTCAATAATTGCTAAAGAAATGAACTGCAAAAACCATGGACGAAGATCCTGCTGGTTGTGAACGTTGGATCCTTGGAAAAGAAATTTAATCAGCCAAAATATTAAGAATCAAAAAACTAGAAGTCCAAAGACTACTGCAAAGCTGATCAGAAAATCATAACTGATAAAAATATTTAGGTATTTATGATAGGAATTACAATATTCCTGGAATATTATATAGATGGAGAATGTCGCAATAATTTTTTGTTAAAGCGAGAGGCGGAAATGAAGTACAATATAAAAAATAAAAGAAAAACTAGTAAGGATATGGATTGCAGTAATTTGGCACGGGTGTTCAAGCCATTAGCTTCAAGAGTCATGGACTTGTCTATCAAATGTACGGATTGAGTCACGTGAAAAATGATTTTTCTCGACTAGTGGGAGTAAACTGCATGTCAGAGTGAAAATAGTCAGAGTGGGGACAGAAGATGTTCTGAAACAGTAGTTTGGCGACTGGACGTCCGTATTCGTTAAATGTGTCCTTCAACCTTATGGCCTAAACCGCCGTGACCAATTATCAATTATTGTTATCCATATCCTTATTAGCTTTTCTTTTTTTTCATGTTGTACGTCATTTTCGCCTCTCCCTTTTAAACGTTCTCCATCTATATTTAAGCAATAGAAAACGTTTTCCGTGTTTGCTTACTCTGATATAAACACGAGAGGGGCTGGGAGAATTCGAGATGCAAACCCGAGACGAAGTCGAGGGTTTGCATAACTGTCGAGAATTTTCCCAATTCCTCGAGTGTTTATATCAGGCTATGCAAACACAGGAAAAAAGTTTTCTATTGCTTTTATAAAATAACTCTCCCGAGAAAAAACGCAAACTCTTTGTTACGGTCCTGATTAAAAGAGAAATTCTTACCAGTCGCAAAGTCTTATACACGAAGTCTTGCACGAGTAATCTGTTCTTGTTTTGCAAAAAGATGCTTTCCAAAATACGGAATTTTCTCGCTTAAAATGTCAGCTTAAGCGAAAAAAAATTGACACACCTTCTTTGTAACGATTTTCCAAGTTTCAGCGGACGAAGGAATGGGCAAATAAAGTAAACTTGTCGAGTTTTGAACTTGAAAACTTTTTCAAATTCGTGCTTGCGTGATTAGGGCGCGAAAAGCAAAACATGTTCACACCGCAACCATGTTTACATTACTGTCATGCAAACACTCCTCTCGACCAATCAGAGCGCGCGTACTATCTTAGTTATTTTATAAAATATTATAATTCCTATCATAAATTTAGTAACAT